TCAAGGCTGTGGCAGGCCATAGGAACAAGCCCTAAAGCACACTACGGACCCAGGAGAACATGAATATCCCTATACTGTCAGTGCCATACCTGGGAGTATGAAAACAACCACACACAGGCTGATACACAGCAGTAATACGTGGTAATCATCCAGCTGAATTAGACAGTTTGATTATAGGGCACTGCTGGTATTTCTAGGTCACGTACTGATATCACACCATTCTACAGCCCAGGGAAACAGAGGCCATAGAAAAACATCTCCATAGACCGGAACATACAACCTGTACATATGACATTATGATGCAGCATTTCTTAAAACCAGAGAAAAGACAAATTCTTAACTTTTGCCAACAGCAACACAACAAAAAGGTTTAACCTTTCATTTTATGGAAAAAGGAATTCGGTAGCTACAGGCAATGACGGGTTCCATTTTCTTCACATTAACCCTTTTGTAACCAGAAAGCATTGATGCCGAGAGGAAAGGCAAAACTTAGGAGCATGTCGGTCAACTGAACAATAACTCCATAGCTTATTAGCATTATTTTTTGGGGGGGAGGGGACATAAGTCTGTTATCTGGAACATTTTTGTTTATTTTTTTTTCAAATTAAAAGACTTTTCCCCAATTTCTTTTCATTCAATATTAATATTGTTCAGTTGGAGAAACCTTTCTGGACATTTTGAGAAGTGGTTGGGAATGGCTAGGTTAGAGGGATCAGCAATTTTTGGTTGATGCTCAGGAATGTTAACCACCCAGTGAATTCAAAAAAATTTAGTAGTGTATATATAAAAAAAAAAAAAAAAAAAAAAAAACAACAACAACAAAAAACCCTGCTCTGTTTTTATTATAGGTTGACGAATACACATAAATGTAGGGGGGAATGTAATATATTGCAGCTTAGCAGTCCTGATGAACCGCCAGATGAGGTGAATGTGTTAAGGTGCCCATACACTGCTCGATTCTCATACGAGAAATCGGGCGAAATCCAGCGATCGTTCGAGAATCGAGCAGTGTGAACTAAAGGTGCCCATACACTGCTCGATTCTCATACGAGAATCGCGGGAAATCCCGCGATTGTACGAGAATCGAGCAGTGTGAACGAAGACGTGCGACCGTTTCTACTGTACGGTCGCACGTCTTTTGTCGAACCAGCATGCTCGAAATCGTACGATTCTCGGCGGGTTTCTAGCCTGCTCGCCCGATAGCTGCAGAACGGGCCGGTGTGCGCACGCGCACACTGCCCGTTCTGCATTGCCGTCATCGGAAGCCCGCCCCTCAGCGGGGCGGGCTTTCGATGATCGCAAGTACGATCTGCCCGTCCAAGGTGGGCAGATCGTACGGGCTTTCAAGAAGCATACGACCATCGCAAGACAAAAGTCTTGCGATGGTCGTAAGGTGTATGGGCACCTTTAGTTTTCTTTTTCAGGCTTTTCACACTTGATTTGCATCTAACATCTAGAGAATAACAGACTTCTCGTCACTGGGAGGCTACGATCACACCTCCACTGTCTATGGAGGGAGCCATGATTGCCACCCAGGCTGGACTTCAAAACATGTCCACCTTTCTTCATATCCATTACATGGGGGGGTAATGGGTTTAGCACTTCACACAAGCTAGATAGACAACATTGTTTTTGCTTTCAGTTTATCTCACAGGAAGTGGCAAAGACACTGCATTTTTAGCAGGATCAGCAGGTATTTCCCATACTTGCCAAAAATGTTCTTAGCCTGAAAAGGAATGCAGACACTATAAGGCTCCATTCGCACCTGAGCGGCTGTCCGTGTGTATTTTGGCTGTACGGATACGCGCGGAGCAGCTCTAAACAGGAAATTCAAGGTGCATTGTTCACACCATTGCAGGGGCCGCGCATAGTGCAAGCGTGATAATCCAGCGAATTCTGCACGTTCGATGCTACGTAATAGCCGCAAACGAGCGGCATCCGTGGGGATTCATAAATATTAGCATTTTTGTCCCACACGGTTTTCCGCATGGAAAACATGCAGGAACTGCAAACACTAAGTGTGACTGCAGCCTAAATAGGGACTAGTAAGGTGCAATATATGACATTTTGACAAAGAAATGTCCCCTCCAGCACTAAAAAGGTGCCTACAGACATTATATGCACCATCTGCCCATTGGAACGCACCAGGGGAACTTACCTTGTAGTTCCTATGGAAAAAGAGAGAGTGGGTTAAAATCACTAATGGCCATAGAAATACACCCCAGGCAATTAAATCATTAGCCCAAACAGGTTTAGCCAGTGGGCTAAACACACACATGAAAATTCCCCATTCATAAATAATCAGCCAGATAACATTCACAATATTTCCTGCCCCTGATGGAGCTTACAATCTTATTTCCTCATCGTAAAAAACAAAAATGCACATATAGTAGCTCCATAATAACCATATAGTTGGTCTAACTTCTTTTCAGTCAAATCTCTGGTGAATTTTCGATAGAGACAGGATGCAAGTGTGATGAGGGCCTTACAGTTGGAAACTTTGAAGCCCAAAGTGTCAAAGAACAGAAAGCAGATAAATGCACAGGCAAAATAAAAAAATTAGGAGGCTCATTTAGTCTTATCTGGTCCGATGTGGTGCCTTAAAGCTTTAGGCAGATCATTTATTTTAGTGGGCCATCAACAGACTACAACTGATCTGAACCATTTTTCCCCAACCCCGCTTGGTAATGCATTACTGTGCACTGCAGCATTGGATATGTGCTGGTTTAGTGCCTTGGGGTGCCATTTAAAAGGTGAGTGGCACCGAAACACACACCAGTGTGTTGTGGCCCATTCACCCTTAATGGCACTCCACCACGCAAGTCAGAATGGGCTCTACAGCTAAACGTCAGTCAAATTTTATAGGGTGGAGAAGGTTAGAGCATTTGTCATCCACACTTTGAGGATTTATCCACACTTCCGGCTCACCAGCTCCACCGACATGAAAAGTATGGTTTAGTTTGTAAATCAGATCTAAAACCAACCACCAAGCTTGATGTCACACCTTTGCGTTGCGGTAATACATGCGTTGCATATTGCAATTAAACACTGCAGCAACAGCAGGTCACCAGGAATGGCTAAAACAAAGTGGAGGAGATCAGTAGCAGACACAATTAAGCATTAAAATGAAAGGTTTAAAGTATTTTACAAGGAAGGAGAAATTGTTTATGATACCCAGTGCTTTAGCAAACTAAATGTCTTTACAGGTTAGACCTACTTTAACAATTTTAATGGCAGCAACCATATACATTTCTGTAGCAAAGGTTTCCTTTTGCCATATAAAATAAACATTGGTAAAGACATATATGTACAAAATACACAAAACACCATGAAATCTGTCTCTGTACCACACCAACAAGAAAAGGTTCAGTTTAATGTACACTTGTGACCAGACTATAAACAATATTTAAATATTCTTCACACGTAGAAAAAGAGCTTGAAAACAAGCCGTTAATGACCTCTGTAGCTGCATATACTGTGAAGCAATTCATTAGGGCTGCAACAACTAATCGACATAATCGATTATAATCGATTATTGAAAAAGTTGTCAACTTTTTCAATAATCGATGAATCGGCTTCCGATCAGTTGGCCCTGTTCACGGCTCCACACATGCTGCGCGCCGCACCTCCTCCGCACCTCACGCTCGCAGACCCGCCCGCATCCACGCCGCACCTCCTTCCCGCCTCACACTCACCGCCCGCCCACATCCATGATCGGCACAGGCACGCGTGGAGATGTAGTAAGGAGGAGCAGGTGTGGGGGGATGACAGCCGCCGATAGACAGGTCCGATCTCAGAAGCAAGTTGCTGGAGACTGCTCAGGTAAGCCTGCACACTCCCACACATGGTGCTCTATAATGTATTGCTGGGATTTGTATTCCTCTATAGCTGATGGTACATTGTGCTGTATATTATACATAGGAATACAAATCCCAGTAATACATTATACACTGTATGTATAATGTATTGCTGGGATTTGTTGTACTCCTCTATAGTTGGTGATATTCTGCACTGCGCTGTATAGAGGACTACAAATCCCAGCAATAATACATTATACAGCGCCATGTGGAATTCCACCAGCTATAGAGGAGCACTACAAATCCCAGCAATAATACATTATACAGTGGTGCACTGCCGAATACCAATGGCTATAGAGGACTACAAAACCCAGCAACAGTACATTATACAGCGCAATGCAGAATACCGCCAGCTATAATGTACTATTGCT